CCCGCTAGCCGAAAACCAACCTCCCCGGTACGTACGACCTCCTCTCAGTGTCCCACGCACCTTCCTGGGTGCTAATCTCACTGGGTGCCATGCTCTGCTAAAGACAAACCCTCTCTCCTGCCGCCTGAGTGCCACTCTCCCAACCAGGAGCAATAATCACCCGTGTCTATGTGGCCCTCAACAGTTGACAAAGCACCTTCATTCGTGAGGCCTCCTTTGCTCCTCACCAGCGCCCTGGGAGGAAGTGAGAGTGGCGTTCCCATTTCACAGATGAGAAACTGGGGCTGCAACCAGGGTAAATGACTCAGTTCACGCCCTCATCTTCTTCCCCAAGCGTGCTGTTCTCGCCGTGGTACTGCGCTGCACCATGGCTCCCACGGGGTGTCCACGTCTGTGCTCACGGCTCAGCCAGAAGAGGACAGGCACGTGCCCACACCCCAAGCTGCTCTCACGTTCCAGAGCCACAAGGCGCAGGTTCTCTGGGTGCCCGGCTTGGAAAGAGATGGGAAAATGTGGGCACCTGGAAGAAGCCTTCCTGCTGTTTCATTGCCCACCTACTAAGGACGGCGAGAAGACAAAGAGATGATGTAGGTCAAGCATGTGTCATCATGCCCGGCACAACAAGTGGCTGGTGCGGCAGGAGTCCAGAAGAGAAGGCTACTCTGGGAGCAAAGTCTCCTTCCTCTCTTCCCTGGGGCGGCACCTTCATGCCAAGGCGAGTTAACTGAGTGGTTCCACTCTCGCTTGCCATTGAGCCTGGGGACTTGTGCAGATAATTCCCTTTGCAAAGCACCATGCTGCACCTCCCATGAGGTCTCCACGTCTGTGCAAACTCGTCCTACACCTGTGGAGGACCAGGCATGTGCCCGTACCACACACTGCGCCCACATTCCAGGGCTCTTACGACTGCACGGGGCAGAGAGAGGACTTGCACCACCCCAGGCAAAGAGGGCTCCCAGGCCAACTCTGGCAGGCCCGGCATGGGAGTCCCTCTGGCCACTGCCAAAGAGACTATCACCGAGCTCCACTCCAAGACTGACAAACGGGAAGGGTGAGGGTGCAGCCCACGGATACTATCCAAGACAACTCTCCTTGGTCCCAGAGTGTCGCTGGGGTCTTGAGTTCCCAACGCTTCCACTGTGGCCAGCAGAGAGTAGGAGTACCTCAGGGTTTACGTGGATGTAAACTCAGCAGCTCCAAACCATGTGCCAGAACTTAGCACAGGCTCACAAGGAAGGAGGTGTGCGTGGTGTGCCCTGCAAGGTATTCCTACACAGGTATCATAGATGGAAGGAGCCGGGAGAAGCCGATGAACCGTTCTGTTTTCTAAAGATCCGCTGTCTGAACCAGTTTGAGAATCACGCAGGGAGTAAGCCAGCTAATCCCCAAATTCCAGATCCTCCTTCAGGAGTCAAAGCTTGGCTCACCAAGACTGCATCTGGAAAACAACCACCCCTTTGTTCTTGAGCGTCACCTCAGAACACTTCTGGAATCTAGTGTGATCAGAGTTGGAAGTGGCCCTGGCTAATTTTCTTTATGTGAAAAAAACAAAAGCAAAAATAACAAAACAGCTTCCACCACCCGTACCCCCACAGTCCCCCCCCAAACCAGATCTGGGGAGATTTTCCCCTCTTCCTCCCTATTCCCTTTCTTTGTGTGTTTTATCAGCTACTGCAGTGGGCGGCATCTGAGCTACCGGTGTTTTGCTACTTAAAGGAGCAAGAAAATTCCATTCGGTGAAGGATAACATGGTTGACCGCCCCACACGGGAAAGGCATTTAGCGTGCTGCAGCCTTGTCTTCCGTGTCGCTCCCGGGACTCTGAGGTCTAGACTCACTGGCTCCTGTTCCCTGGGTCGTCCAGGTCGTTGGGGTTGTGCCGCCCACCCGCAGAGGAAGTACCGTGCATGCTAATGTGGAGCACAGGGACAGGAAGAGGAGGAGGATGGAGCCATCTGTCAGGTGAACCATCCCTTTTTCAAGAAAAGAAAATAAAGGGAAAAAAATCCAGGCATAAATCTGCACTAGTGCTCATGCCAAGAACTCTGGAAGTCCAATCAGGGCCCGGAATCACCCAGAAAGGACCCTCAATTGACTCCCCCCACCAATCCGTTACCCTTTGGGATGAATGGCCCGAGCCTTCCTGTTATTTTGTTTAAAGAGGGTTGGGTCTCATACTGTAAGTGTAAAATGGTACAACCACTTGGGAAAACCGGAAGTTTCTTATGAAGTCAAACACACACCTGCCTCAGCGATTCCATTCCTGGGTATATTTACCCAAGAGAAATGAAAACATATGTCTACACAAGAACTTGTATAAGAACGCTCCTAGCAGCTTTATTCGTAAGAACCCCAAACAGCAAACAACCACATGCATTAAGAGGTGAAGGGATAAACAAATTACGGTAGAAGTTATATTAGTTTCCTATTGTCACTGTCACAGATTACCACCAGTTTAGTGGCTTACAACAGTACAAATGTATTGTCTTCCAGTTCCGGAGGTCAGAAGTCTGAATTCAGTTTCACTGGGCTAAAGTCAAGGTGTTGGCTGAGCAAGGTCCTTCCGAGGCCCTGGGGGAGAATCCATTCCCTGACCCTGGCAGCGCCTAGTGGCCTCAGTGCTCTGCGGCAGGTGCGCCAGTCCGATCTGTGCCTCTGTGGTCACATTTTCTTCTCTTTTTCTGTGGTCAGATCTCCTTCTGCCTCCCTGTTACTTGTGAATATAGTTAGGGCCCACCTGGGTAATCGGAGCTAATCTTCCCATCTCCAGATCTTTTCATCGTACCTTCAATGTCCCTTTGCAATGTATCATTCACAGGTTCCAGGGAGTAGGACCTGGATATCTCTGGAGTCATCATGCAGCCCACATGGGCATCTACGTCCTAGGAATAAAAAGGAAAGAGCTGCTGACATAGACAACAACACAAATGAATCTTAAAAACAATATCTATATATTGTTTTTAATTTTTTTTTTTGAGACAGAGTCTCACTCTGTTGCCCGGTCTAGAGTGCCATGGCGTCAGCCTAGCTCACAGCAACCATAAACTCCTGGGCTCAGGCAATCCTCCTGCCTCAGCCTCCCGGGTAGCTGGGACTACAGACATGCACCACTATGCCCAGCTAATTTTTTCTATTTTTAGTTGTTTGGCTAATTTCTTTCTGTTTATAGTAGAGACGGGGTCTCGCTCTTGCTCAGGCCGGTCTCGAACTCCTGAGCTCAAACGATCCACCTGCCTCGGCCTCCCAGAGTCCTAGGATTACAGACGTGAGCCACCGCCACAGCCTTAAAAACAATATTGAGCCAAAGAAGCCAGACCAAAAAAGAGGACATGTGTATGTTTCCATGGACAGGAAGTTCTAGAACAGCTAAAGCTAATTGGTGTTGATAGGAATCAGAACAGTAGTTGTCTGGGGGCAGGTGATTTACTGGAAAGGGACACAGAGAACTTTCTAGGGTGATGGAAATGTTCTCTGTCTTATCTTGATGGAAGGGCCGATCACACAGATGTGTACATTTATCAAAACTAAGGGAACTGTACATTCTAGAGCTGTGTGTTTCATTGTATGTATTGGGGGAAGTGAGCAACAACAGACAAAAAGAGAGAAAGGAGGAAAAGGAGAAAGAGGAGGAGGAGGAGGAAACAGGCAGGGAAAGAAAAGCAAAGCCCGATCTATTTGGGGAACACGTTTTCCCTCTCACCATGCAAGGAGCTCAGAGGCGGGGAGAGAGGGCCTGCAATCTCACCGGCTTGAGGTTGGCTACTCCCCAGCCCCTTCCAGCATTTAAGGCACACGTAAAGCCGTTGGCCTACCTTAGATAAATTTACAAAACAAGACACCCAGTGAGAAGCCAGAAATATATTGAATACTTCCCTCCTCCCGCTAAAAGTGAGAAAATAATCATATTTTTATATATCAACTGTTTCCACTTTTCCCACTCCCTTCTAGAATTCGCACATATTCCCGTATGTTTTTCCGATTGTTGTTATCATGGTAGAGGAATCATTTATCTTCTGTCTTTTTCGTTTAACGTCATATAGAAACATTTTCCCATTTTGCTAGAGAAGTTTCATAAACATCCCTTTTGATCACTGGGTAATATTTCACTGAGTTGATTGAATTACTATAATGTACTTAGCTTTTCCCCCTCTTATTGGACATTTAAACTATTTCTTTTTATTTCTCCCCCACAGAAAAATAATAGAGCACTGACTATCTTTATACACGTGCTTTGGTTCTTTTTTTTTTATCTCTGGATTATGGTATTTGATTAATGGTTATTTTCTTTTGTTTTTTTTTTTTTTTTTTTGAATTATTTAAGAAGTGAATATTGAAATAAGAAATCAAGAAGGGGAGAAAAAAGCAGCAAAGAAACTCCTACCATAGAATTTAGAGCCTGAGGAACCTCCAGAATCATCTCGTCTAAAGCCCTAATTTTACCAAAGAGGAAACTGAGGCCAGGACATGCTTGAAGGAACATGCCAAAGGCCACAGCGCCGCTAAGTTGCAGACCTGAAACTCAGACTCAGGACTTCTGACTGAGGTAGCATTCTTTAATTCAAACAAAATAACCACAAGCCGGCTCCCTGCCTCGCCTACACAGCAAGCACCAGCAGGAACAAATTTCTCCTGTCTAACCTCGTCATAAAATTGTGGCTTCCTGCTCAATTGTGAGAGAAATCACGTAAACTGAAAAGAACAGTTGGTCAGAGCCTATAGTGTGAGCATGAGATTAGAGTTTAAGCTACGCTTTAGCTCGGTTGAAAAGAGAAATACTTCACCTGAAAAACGGAGAGAAAATTCTTTTCTTTGCATTTGTGTGTTTGGGAGATGCTCTGAGCACTTGTGAGTTTAAAGGAAAGATGTTGGCTTTCAATGACATTCACTAATAGCAGGAAATGCTGTCACTGACCATCCAAGACAGAAATTAATCCAAACATAATTTGAAATGTGTTTTACGTAATTTTCTGGCAACAGATTGACATTCTTAATTATGCTTACCATAAAACTTGAGTTTTTCCGATATTCATCAATTGGAATGCAGGGAGTGGCTTGATCTATGAGATTCACTGGAAGGAGGAGGAGGACCATTATGTCCAACATGCCTGTGTCATGCCAGGTGACAAACCAGACATTTCACATGTACCCTCTCGTGGGTTGTCGGCCTCAATAAGTAGGAATCTGAGGCTCAGATAGGTTAAGTTACCTCCCCCGAGATCACCCAGTCCTCATATTAAAGTCAGAATTCCATCCCAACACCTTCTAAACTCCACTCATTTTCAATTCTACTGGGAAGATCACATCAAACTTTATTTAGCAAGTATTTATTTATTCCCATATATGTATCAAATCTTGTTTGTTAGGTAATAAGGGTATAAAGATAAATAAGAGAAACATCTCCCTTCAGTATTGCCCAACCCAAGCAGGTGACGATAGATGCTATCGCATATATTGGGTCCTACATAAACATTTCATAAATAAGGGAACGAAGCATTAGAGGGAGGTTTGTAAAGCAGGTCACATCTGTATGATCAGTCAGTGACAGACTGTTTAAGATGCCAATTGGCACAGTCATATTCCTGATTTTTTCTTACGTAATGTAAATTTCATACAAATATTCAATCTTACCCTAACTCTGAGACATAAGTATTTTGACTTCCATTTCCTAATGGGGTTTCAAAAAAGACCAAACAAGATGAGTCTACCGAAACCCAGACAATAAACTAGATCCTGTTCTGCCTATCTACCTAAAATGAAATATAATAATCTAAATGTGATAAGTTGTTTAAGTAACATAATTAAATTCATGGTTTCTGAATGAGGATATTTTTGGTTGGAAGTAATAAAAAAACAACAATTTGCCAATTCAAAAAAGTTTGGCAATAGAAAAAGCTTATCTCCCATTAAAAACTGTATCTAGAGAAAGAAAAACCCCAGGATGAACAAATTGGCAGCTTACTGATGTCATCAAAGATCCAGGTTCTTTGCATCTTCTCCCTCTTCTGCCCTTAGCTTGTCAGAGGAGTTGCCCTCATGGTTGCACTATGGCTGCCATAACTCCAGGCATCACGTGCTGGGGCAGAGATTTGCTATATGCTGACCACTTCCATTCTTCTCTCTAGGTAGAAGATTATATTTCCCAACTTCCCTTGCTGTAGGTTGAGGGCATATGACTGGGTCTGGCCAATGGGATATGAACCAAAGGGGTGAGTCTCACCCCATGTGCAATGGCTCATCCTCTCACGTTTCCTTCTGCAAGTAATTCATCTATCTGGCGGCATCACAAGGTGAAAGGAACCTGGATCCCTGAGTCTGCACTTTAGGTCACTGAAATCTTGGGGGTGTCTGTTACAGCACTTGGCATTAATTTCCTTAACCCACACACAGACTTGGCAAGAACTGGCAGAAGGAGACAGGAGCCAACGTCCCTAAGTGGTGGATTGCTGACGCTGAGGCTCAGTCAGCAAGGAGAAGGGGGTGAGTGGGAGAGGCGGTCGCTAAGTCTGCGGGCCCCCGCTGCCACCTGGGCTGTGTGTGGAAGCCTCAGACTCCTCCGTTTCCCTTGTCAGCCCTCCCGTTATGCCCAGTGGCTACTGTCACCTTGTTCCCGCTTCGCAAACCTCCAGCCCTACCTGTGTCACCTGTGTGTCCCAGCACTCTACTCTGTATCCCATACTTACACCTTTTAGCCACCTTGCTCACTCATAAATTCTTCCCTTTCTTGTACAGTCACGTGCTGCAAAACATCATCTTGGTCAACAACAGGCTGCATGTACAATGGTGGTCCCATAAGATTATGATGGAGCTGAGATGTTCCTTTCAGCCAGTGACACGGCAGCCATTGTAGCATCTTAGCACGATTGCTTTATATTTTTATAAATTTAGCGTAGCCTAAGCGTTCAGTGTTTACAAAGTCTACAGTGGTGTACAGTAATATCCCAGGCCTTCACACTCACTCACCACTCACTCACTGACCCACCCAGAGCAACTTCACGTCCCGCAAGCTCCATGCATGGTGAGTACCCTATAAGACGTACCATTTTTTCTTTTATATGGTATTTTTACTATATCTTTTCAATGTTTACACATGTCTGGATACACAAATACTTACCATTATATTATAATTGCCTACGGTATTTAGTTCAGTAGCGTGCTGTATGGGTTTGTAGCCCAGGAGCAATAGGCTACACTATATAGCTAGGTGTGTGGTGGGCTGTACCACCTAAGTTTGTGTAAGTACACTCTAGGATGCTCACACCACAACGAAATCACCTGGAAACTCATTTCTCAGAGTGTAACCCTATCGTTAAGTGACACATGACCGTATTTTCCGAAAATGTTTTCCTCTCCAATGGCACTTTCCCATCAGCGTTTAGATATGATAAAATCACATCCTTATGTGAAAAATAAAATTTCATCAGGTAAATGCAAATCAAAACCAAAAAGATATCACCTCACACTGTCAGGAAGGCTATTATCAAAAAGACAAAAGATACCAAGTGTTGTCGAGGACGTGGAGAAAAGGGAACCCTTGGCTGGGCACGGTGGCTCACGCCTGTAATCCTAGCTCTCTGGGAGGCCGAGGTGGGCGGATTGTTTGAGCTCAGGAGCTCGAGACCAGCCTGAGCAAGAGCGAGACCCCGTCTCTACTAAAAATAGAAAGAAATTAATCAGACAACTAAAAATATATAGAAAAAATTAGCCGGGCATGGTGGCGCATGCCTGTAGTCCCAGCTACTCGGGAGACTGAGGCAGGAGGATCGCTTGAACCCAGGAGTTTGAGGTTGCTGTGAGCTAGGATGACGCCACGGCACTCTAGCCCGGGCAACACAGTGAGACTCTGTCTCAAAAAAAAAAAAAAAAAAAAGAGAACCCTTGTACACTGTTGATGGGAATGGAAATTGGTACCGTCAATATAGAGAACAGTATGGTGGTTCCTCAAAAAATTAAAAATAGAGCTGCCATATGATCCAGCAACCCACTTCTAGGTTTACATCCAAAGGAAATGAAACCAGTACCTCAAAGACATAGCTGTACCCCATGTTCGTTGCAGCTCTCTTCACAATAGCCAAGACATGGAACCAACCTAAGTGTCCATCGACAGATGAATGGAGAAATAAAATGTGTGAGAGAGAGATAGATAGATAATATTATTCAGCCTCAAAAAAGAGAAGAAAATCCTGATATTTTGAACAACATGGATGAACCTGGAGGACATTATGCTAAATGAAACCAGCCAGGCACAGAAGGAAAATACTACATGATGTCACTTATATATCTAAAACAATTTGAACTCCTAAAAGCAGAGAATAGAATAGTGGTTGCCAGGGTTGAGGGGGGAGGGTGGTGAGAGAAATGGGGAAATATTGGTCAAAGGCACAAGGTTCTGGTTACACAGAATCAGTGAGTTCTGGGGTGCTACTGTGCTGTATGTATTAACTATAGTTAATAATACGGTATTGTATACTCTAAATTTGCTAAGAGAGTTGATCTCAAGTGTTCTCACCATACACACACACAAATTCAACTACGTAAGGTGATGGATATGTTAATTAGCTATTTGGACTAGATAGATATAAAAAATCTCATCGACACCTTCCAGCTTCGGCAGTCTCCTCTCTCTCCCGACATAGCCAGGTTTTTGGAAAGAGTTGCTTAGGCTGCGTCTCCGTGTCTCCAGCCGTCAGCCCCGCTGCCCTCTCCTGTCTGCGCCTCCTTCACTGGGAAACTGAAGCTGCTTTCACGGCAGTTTCTTGTGACTTCCTTGTTGCCACATCTGTGGACACTTTCCCTTTCTGTAGTAGTTTTCTAGGATTGCTATAATTAATTGCCACAGATCGGGTGGCTTAAAGCAATAGAATCTTATTGTCTCACAGTTCCGGAGGAAGGCCGGAAGTCTGAAACGAGGGTATTAGCAGGGCTGCCCTCCCTCCGAAGGCTCTAGGGAAGCAGTTGTCTTTGCCTCTTCCTGGTCCTGGGGACTGCCCCCATCCTTGGGCTGTAGCTGCACCGCTATGATCTCTGCTCTACCTGCACATGGCCTTCCCCATTGTGTCTCTGTGTCCAAATCTCCCTGTTCTTAAAAGGACACCTTATCTAGCATTACCTCATCTACTCTGATTACATCTGCGAAGACCCTATATCTGTATAAGGTCACACTCACAGGTGGCAGAGGTTAGAATTTCAGCATATCATTCAGGGGGGACACATTTCAAACCTATGACACTTTCATAGCTGACCTGCCCTAGCAAGCCCTTCTCTGCTTGAGACACCGTCTGTTCCTGGTCTTCCTCGGACCACTCTCAAATCTCTTTCCCACTCTCTTTCTTGGTCCTCTCTCCCTCCGCCCACCCTCTGTCATTAGTGTCTCCTGGGGCTTTTCCCAACCCCCTTCCTTTTCTCTCTTACCTGGAGAATCCCAACCGCCAATGGCTTCGGTTATCATTCTAGACTGACGCCCACACAAATGCTCATAGAATGTGTTCAGTTAGAAGGTCCATGCTGGAAACGCATCATCTTCATCCCAAACCTGCTTCTGCTGTCTCCTCCGTCTCCGTGAATGGCACCACACCCATGAAGACTCTCGAATCCGCCTCCACCCTGTCCCCGAGCCTTCCCTCCTCTCCATCCCTCACTGCCAAGCAGCCATCAAAGCCTGTCATTCCAATACCTCTCCCCATGGCCATCGTCCTAGCGCAGGCCATCGTCAGCTTGCTCCCAGACCACGGCAAAATGGCCTCCCTGTCCCCAGCTGTGCGGAAACTCAGATGTCGTCATCACTTCCACACTCAGTATTTCGGTTCTCCTCGTAACCCTCAGAATAAAGTCCAAACTCTTGAACCTGCTGGCCCTGCCTTTCTCCCCACCTCCTCTCCGCCCTCGCAGGTTAAAGCTCCAGGCAAACCAGACCACCTGGCTTTGCCTCCTGGTCTCCACTAAGGGTTTTCCTCTCCTGGAATTTTCCTTCCTGCCCTCTGGGCTGCCCAAATCACATTTACATTTTATGTTTGTTTATACAATAAATATATATTGAGTGTCTGCTATGTGTCACAGACTATTTTAGGTGCTGAGGATACAGTAGGAGGCAAAGCAGAGAAAAACTACTGGAGTAGCTGAGGCGGGAGGCTCCCTGGAGCCCAGAGCTCGAGGCTGCAGTGCGCTATGATTGCACCACTGCACTGCAGCCTGGGCGACAGAGCGAGACTCTGTCTCTAAAAAATAAAAATTAAAAGAAAAAAATCTAACCGTATGAGCTTATATCTTGGTGGAGAGAGAAAAACAGAAAACATCAGCAAGTAAACACATAGAGTGTGTCAGATGGGGATAAGTGTTTTAAAGAAAAATAAAGCAGGAGGGTGGGGGTTCAATTTTTACTCAGGTGCGCGTAAGAGTCCTCACTGAGAAGATGACATTGAAGCTTGGCTTGGATATCACTCTGTCCCGGAAGCCTTCGGGAAATTTTCCAAGTCCAGGTTAAGTGCTATTTTTATGAACTTCCATGGAGCCTGTGCTTACCCATCATAGCACTTATCATGCTTTGGAGTATTTTTTTGTTTACTTGTGAGTATCAAGTGTAAACTTTGTGAGGACAGAGACCGAGTCTGTTTCTTATTGTATATCGCCAGATCCTTGTAGATGTTCATTATATGTTTGTTGAACAAATACATGAATTGATAACTTGCATTATTTACAAGTTATATAAAAAATGTATGTAGTATGTACAGTAATGTCTTTCTCATCCACTGTCTCATTGGCGATAGGCAGGTATTATTGTCCCCTTTTAACAGACACTCGGAAACGTTGCTTCTTGCCCAGGGTGTCACAATAAGAGGACAACCCGGCCCAATCCCAGCTCTCACGTCTCCAGACCCAGTGTGCTTTCCAGAAAACCCCTCTGCCTGCCTGCGCGCTCTGCAAAGACACAAACCACTAACTCACGTGCATTGGCCATCCTCTGCTATGAGCATTCAATTTCTACTGCTCCTCCCTGGGATCCCATAGTCTCCTCTCCCCAGAAAGCTTTCACCAGGTACTAAAGCCAACACATAAATCCAAAGCTAAAACCTTCTGGAAGTCCGTGATGTAGTCACTGCGCAGCTTGCCTGTGTTCTCACGCTGGTTTTCAGACCATTTCCCGCCCTTCCCCAACTCCACATTTAGTAGATCCATTCAGACAACCACAGAGTGGGGATCAATTGAATTACTCTCCTCTCTGGCACTTTTGAGCCAATGTTGCCTTTTCAATGTGTCAATTTTAAAATGCGGGGTTTGTAAGCAGACAGAATAGCAGACAGGAGTCAATTAGCAACAATTAATATCCTCTATTCATTGCCTGCCCCCCTGATTGATAAAGTGTCACTCCGTTTGGACAAGAGGGGGCCAAAAGGGGATAGGGTAAGGGTGGAGTCCTGCAGGATTTGGAGATGTGAACCTAAGCTACGCTGCCATGAGCGAGGCGAAGTTTGTAACAGGGGTGGGGGGACAGCTCTTGGTAGTTTTCCACTTGCTGCTCACAAGTTCTTACCCTCTTTGGCTCTTTGTCACTGGCCCCATAAAAACGCCCACTGGAGGGAACAGGAATGGTAGCTCATGCCGCCCACCATCCAAACGGCATGGGGGAAGAGGGTTAGAAGTTCACATACTCTTCCCCTTTGTTTTCTTGTGTTTCTTTCTGCACAAGCACCTCTGAACAGGCCAAATGGTTGTTGCCGCGTGGATTTTGTATTGATGATTTCCTTCCACCCTCCCATTCCCGGGACGGGCGTGGGAAGAGCAGGGCAGAGTTAACTATTTGAATAAGGAACAGTTTATAGAATGAGGAGGCACAGACAACAAAAGTAAGCCCGGAAGCTTTCAAATGAGCTACTTTTGTCATTTCTGCCCTGCAATACTTCCTTGCACTTGAATAGATTCTGCAAGGGGTCAACACTCTTATCTTTCTTGAAAAAAATTGTTTTCTCGAGAAGCTGGAAAATTCTCCTGTAAGTGTCAACATTTAGGAAAAAGGAGATAAGCCCTCAATCCTAACAACTAGGGACGAGCAATTGGATCATCTGTTCTTACCTCCGCTGCTGCTCCTCTCTGAGGCTTGCAGCCCACGTTCTGCTCCCCTTAGCTTTCCAGAAGAAAGGAGCAACCCTTCTATTCCTCTCCATTCTTCCAATTCAGAGCATTCGAACAGCTGGACTCCTTTGGGAAAAAATGACTTTAATCATGACAAAAACATATTACTTGTGACAAAGAACAGACGGAAAGGAAAAACATTTTCTGTAATAGTTTTTCCTTTGGGTTTCTGAAAAGTGAAGAAAAATTTTAATTTAAAAAAAAACCCATAAAATTGTCTTAGCACACACTCGACACAGGTGAGAGGAGACAGCCATTAATATAAATTGCAAAATGGGAAATGGCACCATTTACAATTCTCTACTGTTTTTTTTTTTTTCCTTTTTTTTTTGAGAACTGTCTTTTTCTAGAAACTTTTTAAACATCTAGTAAAAGCAAAATGTTTTCAGTTATGAGTGTTTTTTCAGAAAGGTATTCCCTTGCCTCAGTGGTTACTAACACAAACAAATAAATAAAATAAATCTGAGGAACTGGACCAAATTGAATTGCCTTTCCTCTCAGCTAGAGGTTAAGCCAAAGGGTTATGCTGAACCATCACTCATGGTGACTCTGAGCCAAGGTTTACAGAAGTATAAGTTCGTCACCAACTGGGAGACGTGGAGTGTGGTTAGGAGAATGCCTTGGAATGGAGCAGGGCTGGGTTCAAATCTCAACTGAGTCATTTCCTTGCTGCGTTCTCTCGAGCAGGTTACTCAGCTTCTCTAAACCTGAGTCTCCTCCTCCATAAAATGGGAATAATATCACCCATCACAAGGTTGTCAACAGGATTAAAAGATAAAAAATGAATGCTCAGAGATACGAAATACCTAGTGAGGTGCCTGGTACCTTTTAAGCAACTATTGAAAGTAATCACCATTATTGTTATTACCATATGGAATATTCAGAAAAACTATTAACTGCTGCACAACGCACACATTTTTTTCTTCGTGTGTGCAAGGGCTTGAAGCTAAAGCATATAGTTTGAGATCTTCCCTCATGGAAGCAGGTTGATCTTGGACTTAGAGCCATACTGAACAATATTCGCAAAGTCAGCTTGCAAAATTTGCAAAGTATTAGGTCACATGGAACAGTTCTCAGGGACCTGGGAGAGGGACTGAATTGTGTCCTCCCAAAATTCATATGTTGAAGTCCTAACTCCCAATGTGATTGTATTTGGAGATGGGACATTTAGGAGGTAATTAAAGTTAAATGAAGTCATAAGGATGGGGTCCTAATCCGATAGAATTTTCTTATAAGAAAACAGCAATCTCTTTCTCTCTCTCTCTCCCCCCTACCCCCGCTTTCTCCCTCTCCCCCCGCCCCCAGCGCACACACACTAAGGAAAGGCCATGGGAGGACACAGCAAGAAGGTGGCCGTCTGCAAGCCAGGAAGAGAGCCCTTACTTGGAACTGACTCACCTTCATCTTTCAGTCTCCAGAACTGTAAGAAATTAACGCCTGTTGTTTAAGCCCCTCATCTATGGTATCTTGTTATGGAAGCCCACGCTGATTAATACAGAGGGAAAGAAGTCGTTAATTTTTCCCCATGACCAGAAAATCAGAAACATGCCTTAGTGAGCAGAGAATGCCTCCTTTCTTGAATAGCCCTGTCCTACTCTTGAGAGATAGCCAAATGTGCATCAAATTGATAAAAGCTTTATCTGATGTTGAAAGAGAAATATATCAAATCCCATTTTTTTTAAGTTAAATAACTTTCACAGGCGGGAAAAATTCACCTCCCTATGGAGAGCCATAATTTGTACAGTAGTCAGTTGGGAAATGCATTTTGTTGCACAATTCAAACCTGTAGCCAGATTTGAGTAAAAAAGCTACTTCAATGATTTTGTAAGAAACCTCCTTGAAATGGAAAGTCTCAGTTCTCTCCTGAAATACATTTCTACAAATGGTTCACAAGTCTAAAGACAGATGTTATCACCAGTTCTTGAAATTATAGTTTCCCCAGGGAAATGGGCAGTGCCCCAAGAGAGATAAAATGTAGACAGAGGATAAATAAATTCTGAAATGTTCTAGTAATTTCTGTGGGAATGGCTCTCCCTCTTTGCCAGGTCTACTCTGAGCGAGCTGCTGCACAGCCCTCAGAACCTCAGAGGGGTAGCAGCAAGGGCACCGGCTGGGGTTCAGGAGATCTGGATTGAAATTCATTCACTCAACGCTATTCATTGGGGACCTATTATGCATTGTGGTAAAGTAGTAAGGAACCGAGTCTCGAGCCAGATTGTGACGTCAAGTGCTACTGTCCCCTTTACCAGGGCCATGTGGCCCTGGGCAAGTCAGTGCATCTTCTCATGCCTCAGTTTCCAAAGATCGACCAGTCAGACAGAGACCAGCATCTGCGCATCGTCATAACCCCTTCGTGTGCTTGTGGTTATCACCAGTGCTTCCCGGCCCAGGGTCTATCCCCGGTACTGGCATGGCTGACCCCTTTTCTGATATTTTGTAGCTCCATGTCCTGCTACAAAACATTGAATTTGCATGTGTTTCTGTTTCCTCGTCTACAAAATGGAGACGACAGTGCCGGCCTCATAGGATTACAGGAGGATTAAGTGAAATAAAGTAGGCGAAG